TGTCCACATCGTAGGGTCTTGTCAGTTTAGTAGCGACATGTCTAAATTGGGAGCCGGGCGTTTTCCCGAAAGATACTTGCCCGAATGTCGTTTGCCCGAAGGCCGATTTCCCGAATGTACACTTGCCCGAATGCGACAAACGGCCAATGGACACTTGCCCGAATGCGACAAATGCCCGAATGGACACTTGCCCGTACTATATAGATAAGCGACTACTACATAAGCAAGTCGCCTACTACATAGACAGGCACCTACTACTTAGACCAGGGGTCTCCAAACTACGGCCCGCGGCGATCTTTTAGTCCACGGAATAAATGTATTTTAGAGGTGACTGAGGAACTTAGCCCAGAACATTCAAAACAATTTGAAAATGTGGCTTTGGGTGCAAATACCATTGCCCGCCGTTTTGCAGACATTGGTGAAAACATTGTGACTCAAACAGCGTAAGGTCTTTACGGCTGTCGCAACCACTGAGTTCCCAACGTTATTTGCATTCAAGATCATCAAAGACCTCCAGCTGCAGATTCAGTAGCAGTTTTCTGACTTGGATTCAAAGGCAGAAGAAGTGAGACTGTTTCAAAACCCATTTGAAGCAAATGCGGCCAGTTGCAAACATGAACTGCAGCTGGAGGTCGTTAGAGACACGTCCACTGAAGGGCGGATGGGTTTTTATAAGTTTTTTTCACATGGAAAACTTTTCTAATATTACAACTTTTGCATCAAAGTACCTTTCAAATTTTCGAACACCATACCTGTGTGAACAAATATGTTCAAGAATGAATTAGGTGAAGAATAATTGGAGAGCAAACTTGGACCTCTAGTGTATTGTTGGCCCCCGATAGTGTTTCTTTCAGATTTTTCCTCCAGGAGGGGACACATGTAATTTGCATATATTTGTATATAAATTATATTTCGTTTGGGGAGGGGGTGGGGGGCGGTAGACCATCAACACGAAGAGAAGCCTTGAAGAAACTCTGGCCCCCGAACTGATATTTGATCGTTAATGCGGCCCTCGGGCTGAAAAGTTTGGAGACCCCTGACTTAGACGGATCCCCGAGTACATAGACAGATCCCTACTTCATAGGCAGCCCCTACAAAAAGATTGGCCACTACTACATTAATAGGCCCCTACTACATTGACATTTTCCCACTACATAGACATATCATAAATTATTAACACAATGCACCAAGTAGGCCCCTATATCATTATTAAGCACACTTATCTTTGTAGTGTCAGTGAAATATGCACACTTATCTTGTTAGAATCTATCAGTAAATGATGCACACGTATCTTTTCATAGTCTGTCAGTAAATTATACACTCTTATCTTTACATAGTCTGTCAGTAAACTATACACTCTTATCTTTACATAGTCTGTCAGTAAACTATACACTCTTATCTTTACATAGTCTGTCAGTAAACTATACACTCTTATCTTTACATAGTCTGTCAGTAAACTATACACTCTTATCTTTACATAGTCTGTCAGTAAACTATACACTCTTATCTTTACATAGTCTGTCAGTAAACTATACACTCTTATCCTTACCGCAATTTGGGCCTCCTCAGATCGGATGCTGATTGTGATGGTGCCAGAAATGTCCTCTTGGACGGGCATGCCAGTTATGGCGCCCACAAGGAGCAACGTCAGGAGTGCAGGGGAAAACATTGTGGCTGCTGTGGGCAGTTCCATGAGAAAATAGTGGTAGTCATAGTTACATACAAGTGGACAGCAGTAGTTATCATAGTTACACACACGTAGACAGTAGTTAAAGTCATAGTTACATTCAAGTAGACAGCAGTAGCTGTCATAGTTACATACAAGTAGGCAGCAGTAGTTGTCATAGTTACATACAAGTAGGCAGCAGTAGTAGTCATACTTACATACAAGTGGACAGCAGTAGTAGTCATAGTTACATACAAGTAGGCAGCAGTAGTTGTCATAGTTACATACAAGTAGGCAGCAGTAGTAGTCATAGTTATATACAAGTAGGCAGCAGTAGTAGTCATAGTTACATACAAGTAGGCAGCAGTAGTAGTCATAGTTACATACAAGTAGACAGCAGTAGTAGACATAGTTACATACAAGTAGACAGTAGTAGTAGTCATATTTACATCAAGTAGACATCCGAATTAGTCATAGTTACATCAAGCAGACAGCCGTATTAGTCATAGTTACAGAAAGTAGACAGCAGTATTAGTCATAGTTACAGCAAGTAGACAACAGTATCAGTCATAGTTACAGCAAGTAGACAGCAGTACTAGTCATAGTTACATCAATTAGACAACAGTAGACAGTAGTAGTCATAGTTACATCAAGTAGACAACAGTATCAGTCATAGTTACAGCAAGTAGACAGCAGTACTAGTCATAGTTACATCAATTAGACAACTGTAGACAGTAGTAGTCATAGTTACATCAAGTAGACAGCAGTAGCAGACATAGTGCATGCAAGCAGACAGCAGAGGTAGTCATAGTTACATCAAGTAGACAGCAGTAGTTGTCATAGCTAAACACAAGTAGACAGCGGTAATAGTCATAGTTACATAAAGTAGACTTCACTAGCAGTCATAGTTATACGCAAGTAGACAGCAGTAGTTGTCAAGTAGACGAATATGACTGTCATAGTTACACTAGAGTTCAAGGTAAATCTTCTATTGACACATTTATATTTTGATATGTTCATAGAATGAATATTTTATTAAGACAATTATGAATGAGTTGTGATTAAAAACACATTGCTACAAATTATCAGTCAGTTGACTGCAGTCATGTGCTATTCTATGTCACAGCCAGAAGTCAGATGACTGTCATGCATGACGACATGACATCTAATCCTCCTTACAGTTTGACATCAGTCTGTGTTTTCTAAACTTTGTCATCAGGCCAGTTGAGTCAGGCTACGATAGCTACATTTATGATTGAAGCTATAAAAACATTCGTTGACTACATAAACGTACAGTGTTGAAGCCTTGTACATAAGTAAGAGTAAAAAAATATCTTACCAGTTTAAGCTGATGGTACAATGTTCAACATTCATTGCGATCTTTTCTACATATATACTAAAACTTTTAAAATTTAGTTTTATCACAGTCACGAATAACAAGATTATATAAAAATCACAAAAATATAATGTAACGTTAGCTGTAGATTGGGTCTGCAGAGGTTAAAAATTGTCGTGTATTTATGTCGGCTTGCGCTCCCATTGTCAATTTCTTCATAAACATCACCTGATTCAAAGTACTTCTGTACCAATCAAGAAACAAAAAAATTCCCACGCTATGTGCAGTCCGTTTACTAACAATATTAACCCTAACCCAGTCTTCAATACAATGTGCACGGCTACTACACAACGGCCACACCACACCACTCCCACGCCACATCCTCACAAATCCCACATCCACAACACTCACACACCAAACCACTCCCACAGACACCCGGACCACATCACAAAATTGCCACACCATTACCACACGATTTTCACACCACTCAGGCACTGCCCCTGCACAACAAACGTACACCAGATGACAAGTTTTTAAACTTTCATCCAAAGATGACAAGTTTTTAAACTTTCATCCACCAGATGACAAGTTTTTAAACTTTCATCCACCAGATGACAAGTTTTTAAACTTTCATCCACCAGATGACAAGTTTTTAAACTTTCATCCACCAGATGACAAGTTTTTAAACTATCATCCCCCAGATGACAAGTTTTTAAACTTTCATCCACCAGATGACAAGTTTTTAAACTTTCATCCACCAGATGACAAGTTTTTAAACTTTCATCCACCAGATGACAAGTTTTTAAACTTTCATCCACCAGATGACAAGTTTTTAAACTTTCATCCACCAGATGACAAGTTTTTAAACTTTCATCCACCAGATGACAAGTTTTTAAACTATCATCCCCCAGATGACAAGTTTTTAAACTTTCATCCACCAGATGACAAGTTTTTAAACTTTCATCCACCAGATGACAAGTTTTTAAACTTTCATCCACCAGATGACAAGTTTTTAAACTTTCATCCACCAGATGACAAGTTTTTAAACTTTCAGCCACCAGATGACACGTTCTAAACTTACACCCGCTAGATGACAAGTTTTTAAAACTACACCCACCAGATGACAAGTTTTAAATACATTCAGAAAAAAAAGATATTTAAATATATCTACACATGCGTATACAAAGACTTACAAATGTATGAATGTATATACATATATATATATATATATATATATATATATATATATATATATATATATATATATATATATATATATATATATATATATATATATATATATATATATATATCCAACCTAGCGACGCCACTGCCATTTTAATGATAGCTGTGTCACTGATCTTATTTAAAGTTTCATACTATTATGTCACACCGTTGATTTAGAACCTTGACGGGAGAAACAAAAACAACTTAGTACTGCGAGATAGCGTGACAAAAAACACTGGTTCAACCGGACTTGATGTTTTTTAATCTTAGCATTCACAATAGATATTTCTTCTATCAGTTTAAAAACGGATGCCGTGATTAGTGTAAACAGTTTTTTTTATCTTCTTCTTTGTTGCAAACACGACAGCTGGTCAGTAGCGTTACATAACATTGACCAATGAGTGCTCGCGTTGGGCTTTAGAAACATTTAAACAACCACACATCCATATAGAAGTAGTCGGTACAGAAAGGTGGTAGAGGTGGTTTTTAATATAGTATATTGTAATATAAGGGATAGTAGTAGTGTTTAGATATTTAATTTAAGGTTGTATTGTAATATAAAGAGCAGTAGTAGTGTGAAGATACTTCGTGTAAGGTTATATTTTAACATAATTTCTTTGGTATCAGAGTGTAGATATTACATGTACAGTTATATTGTAATACAAGGGTTATTAGAAATATAATAGTATTATAGTATGGAGATATATTGTGTAAGTTTGAATTGTAATACAAAAGTTAGTAGAAATATAATAATATTAGTATGAAGATATTTAATGTAAGTTATATTGTAATACAAGGGTTAGTAGAAATATAATAGCATTATAGTATGGAGATATTTAATTAAGTTTATACTGTACTAAAAGGGTTAGTAGAAATATAATAATGTTAATGCGGAGTTATTTTATGTAAGTTTCTATTGTACTAAACCTTTTAGTCTAAAAGGTTTAGTAGAGTCTAAATCCCCAAGGTCTCCTGCTACTCTTGTCAACTGTTCAATTTCCATTTCCTTCCTAACCTTTCGGCCTCCTCCAGTACGCTACGTCGCCAAGTCTTCCTAGGCCGACCCCAGAGTTTCTTCCAGGCATCTCTTGGGGGGGGGGGGGCTGCGCCGTCGTCCCCCCCCCCCTCCCCACACACACCGAACGAGATGGAATTTATATAGTAAAAATTTACTTTTACTACTGTCCGCCCCCCCCCCCCCCCCACCGAAAATATCAATTGCCCCCCCCCCCCCCCGGAGAAAAAAGTCTGGAAGAAACACTGGTCGACCCCTGCGTCCCTTGCCCTTGGGAGTTCCACTCTAAGGCCTGGGTCTATTGCCAGCATCCTTCCTAAACGTGTGCCGATTCCATATTGTTTCTTGTCCACATATCTGACATTGTTTCTAGTCTTGCCATTTAACGCCTGAAAGTAAATAGAGTTACTATATATTTATTATTTTTAACATGCTTTTGGGGTCGGCGTGGTCGAATCGGTAAAGCTCCTGGTTGATAAATCGAAAAGTCACGAGTTCGTACCCTCGGGCAGAAGAGGCCCCGTTAGCTGGGAATAGCTATGGAAGCAAAAATAAAAAATAAAAAAAGAACATGCTGAAATCGGAGTTAATGTCCTCAAAGGCGCATAACTAGTTGACAATTGTGTTGGAGGGGATCCCTTCCAACACTAAAATTAAGTACGAAGAAGAAGAAGCACACACTTCAGGCACCTATTTGTAAAATGTTGGAATTTTTCTTTGTGTCGACTTTTTTTTTCATGTCTCTGTTCCATAGGGCAGGACTGTTTTAAAGTTGGAGTTAAAGATCCAAATTTTTGTTTCTTTACTTAAACTGAGTTTATAGTTCTTTATAATTTACAAATATTTTGACAGTTTTCACCGTTTAACTAGAGGCGTAAGTATGGGGGGGGGGGGGGGGGGGGGCTGGCAAAAACCCTAGAGGGTGCACCAAAAAGGAGTAGAAAAAAAAATTAAAAGCTCTTTTTAAGCTGCAGTTTTAACTTATAAGCTGTCAAAGTTTATAATTCAAAACTGCAGCTCAAAAACGTAATCGGCTACAAGCCTTTGAATACTCATTTAACTGCTTTCTACTTTGATAGTGTGTAAAATAAATACCCTTCAGAAACAGTGAACAGCAAACCCGATTTCCAACTTTTGCCATGATGGGGGGGGGGGGGGCACTTTTTGGACCACTAAAATGATTTACACTGGGGTACATAACTGTTTTTAACACATTTACAAAAGAAACCAGTTGTATGAAAACGTTTTGTACGATTGTGTAGCAGTAAAAAAAATAATTAGTGGCGTTAAAACCCGCCCTACAAACTTTTTCCAAAATGGCGATGGAAGGGGGCGCTTTTTTGCCAAGGTAAATGGGAAGCATTTATACCGAAGTGGTGAGCAGATAATTCGTTTCACACTTCGAATTGAAACTAATTGTATTAATGCGTAATGTAGGATTTCACTAACCAGTTTTGTCAAGAAATAACGCCGCTAGAACTAGTTCTTTGTAGCTTAAAGTTAGATTCTCTCAACATCAACTCTTACATGTTCGAATCCAAGTTCAAGTCGATAGAAAGTCCATGAGTCCACCCAGCTCTGATATGTACCTAACTCACATTAGGATAAGTAAAGACAGCTGGGCATGGTACTGATCCACACGATCCCCTTATATGACGAGATCTTTCACTTTCCCCATGCACCGTCAGGTTCAAAAAGGGAACTTTCTTTTTAATTACCAACCACAGTGTAATTAAAAAAGAAAACGGATGAATTAAGAAAAAAAAAACTACTAAATAAATATTAAGATAAAATATTTATTTCAGCACAATATTTAATAAATATATATGTAAACAATTTTTGTGTGTAAAGTGATTTTATGAAACATTCTGAGCAATGATAGGGTGAAGCAGAGAAATAAAATCACAAAACAATGATAGGAAGAACAGCAGTCAAGGTAAGGGCAGCGCTGTTCTTTACAACACAGGGCATAATCAGTGATATCCATGGGCAGGAGGGTGGCATATGCCAAGGTAGTATGATATATATATATATATATATATTAATATATATATATATATATATATATATATATATATATATATATATATATATATATATACATATATTAATAAATATATATATATATTCATAAATATATATAAATATTCATAAATATATATATGCAAAAAATGTAGATATATGTGTCTATAAAAACAAACACACACACACACACACTTATATATATATATATATATATATTATATATATATATATATATATATATATATATATATATATATATATATATATATATATATATATATATATATATACATATATATATATATATGTATATATATATATATGTATATGTATATATATATGTATATATGTATATATATATATATATATATATATATATATATATATATATATATATATATATATATATATATATATATAAGTAAAGACATATATATATATATATATATATATATATATATATATATATATATATATATATATATATATATATATATATATATATATATATATATATATATATATATATACACCGTGCAGTGAAATGAATAGTCTGCTGCAGTTAATATAAAAGTAAAGCTTGACCACAGGGCACATAGAGTGGGATATAAAAACACTGCAGGCATCTAGCCAGAGGTTCCAAGTTACATTACAATATATGTACACATTTACATAGAGCAATGTTTAGTGAAGATTTTCACTGTCAATGCACCAATTCCTTACATTTTGGCTGGCAGTGTAGTTAAATGTTGTTGTTTTTTTTTGGAATGTTTTCATTCTACTACAAGCTTAAGATTTTTAATGACTTACATTATATGCATGTAAACAATGTCAAGAAATTTCTGAATTTAACAAGGATATTTTCATAATAAGATTTACAGATTACTGCATTGATTTTAAAACATTATTTAATCTTTACTTTACTCTTAGGTATTATTTTGTTATATATTTACACAAGGAGGATTATATCCAACATATCACAGCACCCACCATATAATATACAGAAAATTTTGTTTTTTTTTTAAATTATTTCTCCCTTAGTTGTTTCCCTTACCTCCTACATCCTGTCATATTCAATTTGATCTTAAGTTCCAAAACCAGATTTTCTTTTATATCAGGCCAAATAAAAATAATTGTGGCCAAATTCAATTTTTTTTAAAGTTGAGAGAGAAAAAAAATCATATTATAAATAGCACCATGTATAAAAAATGATTTTCACCTTTTATATTTGGCTGTGAAGGGTCAAGCATTGCACAGAAGTGTTTGCACAATATTTTAATAATATAAGCATAATAAAAGTTGTTTTAATTAATAAAACAATACTTTCTTACATTTTTATACACCCTACTATTGTAAATTTTAAAGGTGTAAAATATTTTAATTAAAAAAATGAAATAATAAAAGCCATTTGTTTTTAAAAATTTGGTTGATAAAAAACAACCAAATTGATTAATGCTGCTGAAATATAATTATGAAGGGCAAAATTGTCAATGGTTTCTCCATTGTATCTACCTAATGTCACAAGAATGACACTGAAAGCAAATATTGCTGCTTTGTTATATATTGCTCTAGCTTTAGGTATTAATTCAATGAAGGTTTATACATTTTTAAAAAAAGACAATTTTCATTTGAAAGATATCATAATTTTTTTAAAATAAAACATTGCAAAAATTTAAATATGCCTAAGTATAAAATTAAAAATACATATTAATATTTAGTAGTTTTTTGTTTGTTTTTTTAGTTTTCCACAAAAATTGAAAGTGGTATAAGGTAAATTTTATGTTAAGTAATAAATCCTAAAACAAACAGACTCTTCACCCCAAAACCTAATCCAAAGTGGTGCAAGACTAGAAAACAGTTAAGTAAAATGTTTTTTTGAGAACATGCAAATCACTAGGGTACTCTATCTTATTCTAAAAAAACTGTGAATAACCAGCCAAACGCTCAGTCATTTATATCTTCCCAAATTATGCCAGGTATTTTTTATAAGCTGGGTTGGCTCTGGCTCTGGCAAGACCACTATTAGATTAAAGATCCTTGAGAGGGTGATCTTCACCTATATCATGCAATTTATTACACTTCAACATTTTTATTTTTTTAACAAAAAGAGCTCATTTGTTTGCATTTAAATAATGTGGTGGTGGTAACACCTTCAAAAGACAACATAAAGTGAATATTTTCTTATTTTCCAGTATAAAGCCAGAGGGTGAATGACACAATATAATTTTTTTATACCTAACATAGTTACAATACTCTGGAATAGTTTTTAAAAAAATTATATTAAAAGATTGCTTTTGAACATCGTATGTTAATCACTGACAAAACACTTAACATAATAAAACAATCAGAACATGATCTTGTTATGTTGAGCAGGGGAAGTAAATAAAATAATCCTAACGAGGCCGGCGTAATTTTAAAGACAAAAAATACCACTCAAAACAAAGTACAATGAGGTCATCATGAAGAGAATGATGTACCCCAGTCCTATGCGGCAGTTGACTTTCTCAAACAGGTCCAGCACGACCCCACCCAGGGGGGGTGGCCAAAGCCTGGGGCAGCACAAGCGACTGGTGCCAGACAGCGATGTCCTTGGCCTTATCAGCATCCTCTGCCAGAACGTCCATCACCAGGGCGAAGTCTACAGACTGGTAGGCGCCAAAACCTAGACCTGAAAGTATACATAATGTAGGTCCATTACCATCTTCTCTTCTTCTCTTCGTTCTTAATTCTAATGTTAGAAGAGATAATCAACGCAGTTAATTATTACGCGTCAATCTTATGTGCCATATAAGCCGTAAACTCAGATTTCAGTTTCAGCCTGCTTTTCTTTTTGGATTTGCTTCCATAGCCTTTGTCCAACCAAGAACAAACTACAAGGCAGCAGTTGATTGATTTTGGAGTTGTCTCTCTTAGGTGTTCCCCAGCTATCCCCAGCTATCAGAGCCTCATCTGTGGGGGGGGGGGGGTGGGGGGGTAACTTGGGGCTTTTTGGTTCAGCAACCGAGAACTTAACCGACCTGACCACACCAACAAATTACCATCATCTGATGTATAATTTTGTACTTTGCTAAATACAATCAGACTTTTTTTTCCCCAGATTAATAACATGTACAACTCAGACAAAGATGGATCAAGGCATTGGCTTAAGAAGAGGGGCGGGGGGGGGGGGGTGTTAAACTTTTTTGCTTTAAATATATTTATATATACATACATACATATATTCTGCAACTAGAGGATCAAGGAAGGGATATCGAAGCATACCCCCCCCCCCCCATATATATAGATTTTTATGCAGATGATAAATTACAACAAAAATACTAATCAGTAACCCAAAAGTGACATACTAATTTAGTTAATGATCAATTACAAAACTAAAACCAACCTATGATGAAAGCCATGACTGCAGCTATAAAGTATGCATAGGTTCCAGACAAGAAAGCATTGATGAAAGCTCCAATAGCCATAGTAAAGGCTGAAAAACACAACAGAAAACATGCTTGTGTTTTTACATGAATAACCTTTGAACCTTTCCCATTTTACTTGTGTTATATAATGAATGGCTTGATGATGATTTGAAACTAAAAATGTTTATAACTTAAATTATGTTTCTGAAAACACACAGAAAATAAAAAATTTAACAGTAATTATTTATAAATTTTTAGGTAAATATTTTTTATTTCTGTTAAAGTTAATATTTACATATAATAATTTGTTAGCCTATTGATATCACCACAACGCAAAGGAAAATATAAGTTGAAATAATTAAAGGAACTGACCTGCTATTGCCACAAATTTATTTTCCTATATCCTGTGTTATCTGAGACTATTCCAAACACTAAGAGCTGTCCAGATAGAAAAAAAAAAAACATTTAAAATAAATTTTAATAGAGTTGTGTTTACTATCATTAACTTATTATTTTGTATCTTACTGTAATTGACTCTATTTCTGACTCAGCTGATCCCAGTACCCAGCAGTAGAGCTAGTGGCTAGTACCTGATGGCAGCAGCAAAGAGCAGTGGCAGGAGTAGCAGTGCTACCGAGGGTAGCAGCCGTCCAGCAGTACGGGAGGGCTACCATATCATTTAACCAGTACTCCAGGAAACTGGAAAGAAATTTTACCAAAGATACATCTGATTATTACCTAAACAAAATATTTTTTTAAATGTCATTTTAAGATAACATTTTAAAAACTTAACAACATTTGTTTTTCAAAAGAATCTAGAAATTATCTATTAATCATTTTTTTGCTTCTTTTGTTTCATATAAACATTATTGAATTAATTCAAGTATAAAAATGTGCATGTTTGTTTAAAAAAGTAAAATTCCATTTTAGACCAGATGGTCCATGATGCAGATGACTTAGATTTCATCTGTTACTCTTGACATGGCATATGAAAGTGAAGTTTGATTACCACTAATCACCAGCCATCTTTTCTTACCCTGACCTTAGACAGAATAGTTTGTTAGTGGGGTCACTAGGTTGGGTGACACCTGGTGTTATACCTCAGGGTGTCACCCTCAAGGGCTTTATATAAGCTGCAGAGGCGTACACACCCCCTCCCAGCGCCCAGGGACAAACTTTCAGTTAGCCCCCCCCCCCCCCCACATATATATTTTTTATATTTATAATTCAAAATAGCAGCTCAAATGAGCTCTTATTTTGGCGCCCCTAGGGTTGGGCGCCCAAGGACATATGTACCGCCCACCCCCCCACCCCCCCCTATGCCTCTTATAAGCTGAACTAAAACTAGTTATTTAGGTGTCACACATACACACCTTGGTTGTATTCAACCCAATGGATGGTGTGAAGAATCACCCCTTTGGTGTCACCCCTTAGATGGTGTCATCCCCCTTTGGTGATGTTACCTAAAGCGATCTGCAACCCCCCACCCCCACCCCTCCTGTCCCCACCCCATGACTCCACTATACCCCCTGCCTGACTCGACTCACCCTGTGATGGTGGCAACACCTTGCTGCATCAAGAACCGCGTTATGAAGACCCATCTAAAATCATGATCTGAATACAGAAGATGAAAACATTTATAACAAGGCAAAAATTTTAAGCTTTCGTTACATTATAGCCTTGAACTATTGATTTAATAAAAAAAATAGTTACCTTTCAAAGGTTTCCAAAAGCCTATGAATACAACTTTAAAGCCTGTCAGAGAACATTTTTATTATTAATTTAGAACCGTACATGATATTTCAATATAAAGCAAACATTTTAAATACTAGTAAAAATTGTGATTAAATGTTCAACATTAAGTAAAAAATTGTAAATACTAATTTAAATTGTGATTAATGTGAGAATGTTCTTTCAGTATGAAATGAATGTTAAAAAAATCCCCCAGCACAAAACAATTGTGACATTTACTTAAAGGTTCTAACAATTGTGACACTTACTTAAAGGTTCTAGCTCAGTCTGTTTGACGTACGTCTCCGTGATGCTAAACACAGTTATGAGGACTGACGTAACCACAATCCCAATCATGATTGCGTAGATTGTCAGTACACCTATGCGCTGTGTACAGATAGAAAAAAAATCTTTAGTAAAAATAGTTTTTTTCAGCCATCTTGTGAAATTTTTATTTTTTGATTGGTCAGAGTACTGTCTACAATATTTAGAGATGAATGTTGACTGTAGTCAACTAGACCATACACAAATACTAGGACACATCTAGACAATACAGACTGGACACAACTAGACCAAATAAACAAAGGCCTAGACACCACCTAGACAGTACAGACACATACAGCACACAACTAGACACACATAGACACCAGACAAGACTTACAGTGAATGTGGTTCCAGCCAGAGCACCAGAGACATTGCCCAGTAGAATCATGGCTCCCATCATTCCAGAGTTGAAACCTTAACACAACAAAATAAATTTATTCTACCCATCAGTTCATGTTGAAACCTTAGCGCAACAAAATAAATTATTCTACCCAGCAGTTGATGTTGAAACCTTAGCACAACAAATTAAATTTATTCTACCCAGCAGTTGATGTTGAAACCTTAGTACAACAAAATTAATTTATTCTACCCATCAATTGATGTTGAAACCTTAGTACAACAAAATTAATTTATTCTACCCATCAATTGATGTTGAAACCTTAGTACAACAAAATTAATTTATTCTACCCATCAGTTGATGTTGAAACCTTAGCACAACAAAATAAATTTATTCTACCCATCATTCCAGAGTTGAAACCTTAGCGCAACAAAATAAATTTATTCTACCCATCAGTGGATGTTGAAATAAAAAGCACTCTGTGAATTGCTTGAGCATACAAAATTAAAATTACTACTAGTCAAAGTCAAAGGTGTTGCGGGGGTGTGGACAGCACCGGGTGACAGCTGACCTAGCGACGCCACTGCTACTAGCGTCAGTTTTAATTATAGCAACCACTATCTCAGAACATAGATACTG